CGTCTGCCTGTGCCGGCGGGAGACCGGAGGCGGCGAGTTCACGGCGAAGAAATTCCAGCTCACGATGCAGATCAACAATCTCCTGTAGATGCATGGGTGGGTGGATGGATGGATGGATGGATGGATGGATGGATGCATGGGTGGGTGGATGGATGGATGGATGCATGGGTGGGTGGATGGATAGGATCAGCGTGGATGAGTGGATGGCGGTTCACACGTCGGTTGGCAGTGAAGATGATGGCAGCTGCTCAAAGCAGCCGTCTCCCAACCGACCAAATAATGCTGTCAACACCCTCTCCTCCCCCACCATGACTGCTACCAACATAACTACCACCAGCATGGCCACCGCCATTACCTGGTCGAGTCTGCTTTCGGTGGCGAATATCCACTCGGAGTGCGCCGTCCGTCGAAGCGCCCGCGCCTGCTTCTTCATCTGCTGCTGCAGGTGCTGCCGCGTGCCCTGTTGTTGTTGTTGTTGTTGTTGTTGTTGTTGTTGTTGTTGTTGTTGTTGTTTAAGTTGTTGTTGTTGTTGTTTAAGTTGTTGTTGGTGGTGGTGGTTTCAGCATCATGATCCACAATGCCACACGTGAGAAGGAGAGCAAGCACAACTCATCGTGTGCACACCATTCATCAAAACCCGACCATGTGACCACCCATCCACAACGCCAGCACATAGCATCAACCACGTCTTCACGCCCCCCTCTCTCTCACGAAAACGCATCAATCTCTCAACCCCCATATGTGTCATACATACCACGGCCCACTGCGTCTGCTTGAACGACATCTTGAGTCCGCGTTTTTGCTGCGCCCGCTGCTCTGCCCGTGACGCAAGATGGTGTGTCGACGGGTGGACACCGGGTCCAGGTGTGCGTGGAAGCGTTGTCCGGAGCGGCGGAAGCGTTGATGTGGATGTTGCCGATGACACAGATCGAGCAGAGGCGGGTCGTGGCCTGTCCACAACTCCAGGGTGCTGGTGCTGGTGGGGCGTTGGTGCTGTGCTTGGCGGTGGCGGTGGGGGTGTGGTTGTTGTTCTACGGGCGAGATGGGCAGGAGGACCGGTGCGAAGTGGGGGCAGCGTGCGTGCGTTATCTGTTACGCCACGGCCTGCACCGCCCTGTTCCATGCCATCTCTGTGCTTCACAGGCGATGATGACTGCTGCTGGTGATCCAACGCGGCCTCATCGTCATCATCAACACCACCACCACCACCACCACCACCACCACCACCACCACCACCACGCCGTGGTATCGCTGATTCTGCATCGTTGGGCGTACCTCCGCGCTGCGCACCATCATGACTGTTCTCGTCCCGGTCTTCCTCCTGCAGGGCGCCGAGCGGCGTGGCAACGGAGGCAAGGCCCACCCCACGCGATGGCGACGACTGGTTTCGCCGCTGCTGTTCCCGCTGCCGCTGCCGCATCTCCAGCCGCTTGCGCCGCTGCTGCTCGGGGCTCCTGCTTCGTGGACGCCGCAGCGACGACGGCGATGGCAGCGGATGCTGCTGGTGCTGTTGGTGTTGTGGGTGCTTTATTCCATCACCTGCAACGTAAGATCCCGTCACGCCACCGGCATGCTCGTCGTCGTCATGTGTACCGTCCGCAATGGCAACAGCATGCGCCATGGGCTGAACGTCCGTGATGGTGGCGCCAGCATCCCCGCCCTCATGTCTCTCCTGTATGTGCACAGCCCCAAAATCAGCGGTCGTGGTGGTGGTGGTGGTGGCGGCGGCGCAGTCGCAGAGGAGTCAGCAAAGAGGAAGGGGAGCAGGGCGCAAACGAGCGTGCAAACGAACGTAGGTCAAGCGCAAGCCTCACAGCGGCAGAAACGCAAACAGGTACTGCAGAGCTAGCCACGCACGCGGACGCAAGCAGAGGGGCAGCATTACTCACCCATGCATATACAAACAAACATACAGACAGACAGACACACACACACACAACTTACTTCGTTGTCCAGTTCAAGGTCGTCTTGGAGTGCTTGGAGCACGGTCATCCAGTCGTCGTCGCCGCCTCCTGCTGCTGTTGGTGATACAGGTTGCACGCTCTTGCGGCGTTGTCTCAACCGCGCTACCTTGGGAATCTCGGGCGGCTTTTGAATGGCGTTCATGTGGTGCAGCATCTTTGCGTCCGTTGATGCTTGCAGGAACGCAGCACCGTACGGGTTGATCATGAAGTCCCGAAGGAACCCGGCCACCGTCGCGTCATCTTCCCCATCGCCCATTCGGTACTGTTCTGATGCACAACAACCGCCACACGTTCCACCAACGCAAAGCACACCACAACAGGCCTTGTGTCTGCTGCCGTGCGAGCTGGAGACAGCTGGGCGCTGTGTTCTTCTTCTGTTTGTCTCGCCTTTCGTCTTTGGCAACAGCGAGTGCTGAATTTTACTGCAAGACATGTGCAATTTTCCACAATCACAACCTGCTGGAGGAAGACGAAGAAGAAGACGTCATTGGATGACAATGACGATGATGATGCAGCAGCGAGGCGTTCACCTAGTTGTGGCGGTGGCTGTGGCCATGCTCGCCGTGGCGCTGTCGCAGGTACATGCGGTGCAACCTGTCGCCTGGTTGTGGTGTGGTGTATTGGGATTACATTCCCGCACATTTTGTGTTTTGCCCAAGTCATACACACACATGCACACACACATGCACACACATGCACACACACATGCACACACACATGCACACACACATGCACACACAAATGCACACATGCACACGCGGACACCAACCCACTCTTTCTCCCACACATGCACACACAAATACACACACGCTCACACTGACACATACACACAATTCTTTCTTTGACTTGTGGTAGGTGAATGCTGCGGAGAGGTGTTCCGAAGGTGCAAAGTGTCCCAGTCATAACACATGCTGCAAGATGGACGGTGGTCGTTTCGGTTGCTGCCCTTATGCCAACGCCACATGCTGTAGCAACTTTTGCTGCCCTCCCAACTCGCAATGTGCTGAGGATGGCCGCAGTTGCGACACGGGACCAGGGCCAACCCCAGTGAGTCCAACATCATCCACAACAACCTCGGAACCCGCCACCAAGAACGACTTGCTGCACAACAACCGGCAGCACGAGCTTGTGCCCGTGACGCCGGCAAGCCAGCGTTCGGCTCCATCTCACAATGCCAAAGACAGCCTGGAATCCTCCCCGCGCGAGCGACGACAAGACGACTTTGGCGTTGACCAGCCCAATGCCATCGTCTGCCCCGACGGCTCGTACTGCCCAGACTTCAACACGTGCTGCCAGATTCCGGGCGGCTACGGCTGCTGCAGCCTCAGCGACGGCGTATGCTGTCCAGACGGTGCCTTTTGCTGCCCCAGTGGCATGACCTGCGGGCAGAGGAGCTGTTATGCCGAGGAGTAATGACCACAACGCACATACCACGGTTGCTTGTCTCGCGTGCAAAACGCAAGTGGTTGCGTGGCTGATTTGTTCTGGTATTGGTCCAATCGTTTTCCCTTCTCCTCCCTCTTCCCCTCTTCCCCTCTTCCCTCCTCTTCCACTCCTTGGCTTTCTCTTCCACTCCTTGGCTTTCTCTTCCTCCCCTTTCTCCTCTCCTTTCCCCTTGTGTTCTATTTGATTTGACAACCTTGCTCGCCGCGCCAGTTTGGATGGGCGAGGGCGCTGCAATGCTGGAAGGATATGTGACCCAACAATGAAACGTTCACAAACTGATGTGCAGCAAAACACAAAACGTGATGTGTGTGTGTGAGTGTGCAAGTATGTGTGTGTGTGCATGCAAGTGTGTGTGTGTGTGCATGCAAGTGTGTGTATGTGTGCATGTGTGTGTGAACGTCAAGCGCTGTTTTGTTTGGGGTTTTGTATTGTGATTCACCGTCAACATTGATTGAAATCTTGACCGAGACAGCAACAACCGCATCGCAAGACAAGACACACCACACGAAATGATCATCAGCAGTGAAGCGGGTTCAGGTAAGAGCGAGGAGAAGGAGTGGCGGGGGGGGGGGAGGGAACGAAACAAGCAATGAAAGCGCATCTGGTACCCACCGATACGCTCGGGCGAAAGGCAACTCAAAAGGAGGGCCGTGACGAAAGAAGACATGAGACAAGTAGGACAAATGATGTCATGTGAAAAGAAAGGGAAGAAAAAGTTGATTGTGTGGAAACAAGCCTGTGAAATGACGTTTCACAAGCAAACGCATGGAGAAGATAACATCAGGCAAGGCCAGCACCCACAGCAGCCATAACAATGGCAGCAACTTTGATTGAAGGAGAAAAAGACTTGAAAGTGGAAGAATGGGCGAGCACATGGATACACGCGCACGTGCACACGGAACAAAGAGGGGCGGGGGACGGGGAGAGATACCGTGACAGTGGACCGGCCACCATCGACCACCACCACCACCACCGAGATCGCCTCGTCGATCGACCTCAACTTGACAAAACACCAACACGACACCTCAGCGACAGCTCTTGCTGCCTTCATCCATCCGCACGTGCGCGTCCCCTCACTGCCACTCCTCAGCGTTTGCGGCTGACCCAGGCGCCCTTGAGCCGCGTGCCGATGCGAACGTACGCGCGCTCACGGCGGCGGCGGCGGCGTTGCTGCTGTGGGCTGTTGGGCGGCGGCACTGCCCCGTTCTCAGCACCATTGCCAGGGCCGCCATTGGCGAGCGGGTTGTCAAACATGTGCTGCTCGCCATCGCCATCGTTGCCGTTGTTGTCGCTGTCTGGCGGGATGAGGGCCACACCATCAGCCATCATGGGCGCGGGGTTGGCGCCACCGCGGTTACGGCGGGCCAGAGACGCGTGGCGAACAAGCTCGGGCAGCCGGCGTACGGGCACGTGGCGGCCAAGCGACACCAGCGGGGCCAGCACCCGCAGCACAGCCGCAACAAACCTGTCGTTGCGCAGGCGAATGGCGTCATCGTGGTGGTTGCCGTCAACGGCGCCGTGCTCGTGGTGCCCGCCACCAGGGCCCCGCTGCTGTTGCTGCTGCTGCTGCTGGTTGTTGTGGTCATCATTGTCACCCGGGAAGACAAACACGTGCTCGTGTGCTTGCGGCACAGGCGAGCCAGGTGTAAAGCGCCCACTCCCAACGCCCAGCGCGGACGAGGTGTTCATATGCTGGAGATGGAGGGAGGCGGCGTTGCGGCGGAGAGCACGTGCTGGCTGCTGATCAACGGCTCCCACGATGCCGCTTACCCCGACAATCTCAATGTCCCGCACAGGGTACGGGGTGGTGGCTGTCGTGTTGGTGGTCATCGTAGCGTTGGTGGTCATCGTAGCGTTGGTGGTGCTGGTGGTGGCTGGGGTGGGGCGGGGCGTGATGGTCGAGGTGGAGGTGGGTGGGGTGTCAATGACGGGAGACAGGACAGGCGTGCCGATGGCGTCCATGGCCGAAAGGGAATCGACGGCGGTAGGGCTATGAGCCGCATCATCAGCAGTGGTGGTGTTGGTGGAGGCAGTGGCAGTGCTCAGTGACCGCAGCGCTGGGATTGTCGACACGACTTGTTTGAGTGGCAGCATCACTGGCAGTGGTGATGGTCGAGAGAGCGACACCACTGGCGGCAAGCGACGTGGTCGTAGCAGCGCCATCCGCAGAGGCATCAGGAGCACCATTGTGCTCACCAGCAGTGGTGGCTCCAAGGGCTATCGTGCCGTGCATGCATGCATCCACCTGCGAGCCTTGCTGCACCTGCACAGCAATGGCGAAATCGTCGCCACCATCGCCTCCGTCGTCGTCACTGGCCAAGTCGGAGAGCTGCGCGAGTGCCGTTGGGGATGCAGATTCGCTGCGGGACGCGACAGAGGAGGACGACACCCGCCGCTGCTCGAGGTCCCGCTGCACCGCCCCCGTGGCTGTTGTGCTGGCGCCGAGCAGGGCAGGGACGGAGTGGGTTGCTGGCATGCGCGGGCGCCCGTCCCCGCCATGGCCAGCAGGCACGTCCTCAAACGACGACTGTGCCGAAGCTGCCGTGCATGCGTACATGTGTGAATGTGCGTGAGTGTGTGAGTGCGCGAGTGTGAGTGAGTGAGTGTGAGTGTGTGCGAGTTCATGCGCATGTACATGCGTGCGTATGTATGTGAGGTTGGTTGTATGCGTGCATGTATGCAAACCGAGGTGAGGGAAACTCGTGAATGCAGGCAGATGAAGACGGAGCAAGGCTGTGGCAGCGTGCATGAGAGCAAAGGCAGGGCCGAGTGGCCATAGCAGCACCACCTTGCGTGGGCAGGGAGGCGCGGCTGCGGGTGGGCCTTGGTGGCGGCGGGTTGGCCGGGCGGCGGCCGTTGCCTTGCGTGCTTGCATGCACGTCAGCAGGGGTGCTTGGCTTGGCTTCCACTCGGGGGCTGGATGGCTCAGCGGGGCCCACGCTCGGTGACACGTTCACATCTGCAGCAGGCGACAGCGCACAGTGACAGGCAGGCGAGAAGCGAACGAGTGAGGAGTGAGAGGGGACAGGGCGAGCAACACAGGTTGGCTGTGTTGTGCAGGTGGGCTGTGTTGTGCGGTGATGCAAAGAAACCATGAACTGTGGACATGGATGGATGGATATGAGGGTGGTGATGGTGATGTTTGCAAGGTTGCTTGCTTGCAAGCACGCACACCAAGAAAGGCAAGGAAACACACACGAGCACTTCACACAACCTTCGTTGGTGCGAGACATGCTTGGTGCTGCTGAAGGGAGAAAAGGAGGAGGCGGAGAAGGGACAAGGGAAGGGAAGGGGGGCAGCGGGTCGTGCGATGGGATCTGGGCACAGCAGGTGATGGTGGTAGGGCACGGAAGCGACAGTGTGCTTGGCAGACTTGACACGTTGTGTGTGCGAGAGAGAGGGAAGTGTGGAAAATGAATCAGTGGCTGGCTCAACGTTCGACAGCAAGAAAGAAAAGAAAGTCCGCTCAAGCAATAACGGCTTTGACAACACACGCACACAAAGACAAAAGCGCGCCCAGTGCAGACACAGAGCACGGCTGCAAGAAATGTGGCAATGATGTCACCACCAAGCACCAACCACAGCCAACCCGGACCAACAGCGGCCGCACCCGAAGCTACACGTCGGACAAAACGCTTGGGAGAAGAAGGAACAGAACAAAGGCTCAAATGTGTGTGTGTGTGTGTGTGTGTGTGGTGGTGGTGGTGGTGGTGGTGGGGTTGCAAGCAGGAGTAACAGCAGCTTGAAAGCAAATCACCAGGCCACGCATTGGTTGGCTGCCTTGTGTGTGTGTGTGTGTGTGTGTGTGTGTGTGTGTGCGTGTGTGTGTGTGTGTGTGCGGTTGGTTGGTTGGCTGTCAACAGGCCACAACCACCTGCATGGGTTGGAAACAATAACAAAAGAAAAAGCAGTCACAATGACCCAATGGAGCCAGCCACAACGCTGCCGTGTTGATAGCACGCCATACAACGGCCGCAACCACTCCCCAAGCAACAGACGGGGAAGCAATGGTGGAGGCAGCGGGTGGGGAAAGAACGGAAGGCGAAAGGGAAACGGTGGGAGGGGAGAGCTGAGAAAAAGTGGGCGCCAAGAGGAAAGAGGAAAGAGGAAAGAGGAAAGAGGAAAGAGGAAAGAGGAAAGAGGAAAGAGGAAAGAGGAAAGAGGAAAGAAGAAAGAGCACGTCAGCCCCAAGCACACACGCGCACACAATTGAAATGCGCACCAAAGTCAGGGAGTGGAGGGGGTTGGCGAGGGAAGGGGAAAGGGAAGGGCGACACGCCAGGACATGGTTGCACCCCAAGCGCAGAGCCACGTTCTATGGACGCGGGTGCGGCATATCGATCGCCCAGTTGAGGGACACACAGCAACTGCGGGACGGGGGAGGGGTCGGAAAGGTAGATCACCCAACGTATTGTTCGCGTGTGTGTGTGATTGTGGTGGAGGGTGAGTGTTGTGTTGGTATTGGTGGTGGTGTGACTGGTGGCGTGAGTAAAGTTGGTGTGAGTGAAGTTGGTGTGAGTGAAGTTGGTGCTGCGTTGCATTGAGCAGGAGACAACACACACACACACACACCCACACACACCCACACACACCCACACACACACACACACGCACGCACGCACGCAGAAACAGACAACGAAGTTCATCCAACACACACATGCAAATGCACACAAAGGAGGAAGCGCGGGTGGACACATGGTGGTGGATCCACATTGGTCGAGGGCATAATCTTACCCCCAGTGATGTGCAGTTGCTCGCTTGGCTAGTCCTTCTGTGTGTTCCAGGTTTGGTGTCCGGTTCGCAACCTTTGGTTGACGGAGATTTGTCGTGTTCCGATGAGCGCAGTCGCCTTCATCTGATCCGAAACACGTCCTTTGGACACGCGGCAGGCAGCCTTGTCAGCATGAGCAGGGGCGAGGAGTCAACTTCAAGAGAAAGTTGTCGTGGACGTCGTGGCCTTGCTTGGCACATGCACACACACGCACACACGCACACGCACACGCGCACGCGCATGCGAGATGCGCTCATCCATGTCGGTTCAGCACCAGCATCATCAGCGGTTTGAGGAGAACGTCCATTGGGAGCAACGACATCAACACGATGGGTTGGTCGGTTGGTGGGCGGTTGGTGGGGGAGACAGCGATTTCAGCGAGCTAGCGAGTGAGCCGAGTGAAGGCGTTAGGGGAACGTTGGAGACGGGGAGGTGGGATGGTGGAAGGGTGATGAGACAACAAGCCAGCCAATCCAGCCAAGCCAGCCAAGACGAGGAGAACAAGGTCGTTCGTTCTCTTCTTCCTTCCGCTCTGACTTGTTTTGCTGGTGCGGTTGTGGAGGATTACTTGAAGATTTACACAAAACGGCGATCGGAAGGACAGCACGAACAAACAACCAACACGCACCAACAAGCAAGCAACAAGCAGCAGCGCTTCTTGAGTTGCAGTTGTGTGGGTGATGTGTGGGTGATGTGAAGCATGATGGTTCGCACACACATGCATACACATGCACTGATGGTGTGTGCACATTCACATATCCACACAGAGCAAGCAAGCCAAGTGGAGATGATTACAACAAAAGAGAAGAGCAGCACGAGTGCATTCAATCTCACACACGCACACGGTGCATCGACGTGGTTCGTACGAACAGCTGCAGGCTGAAGTCAGCAGCTGATAAAGGAACGCAGTGCTGGCTGAAATGAAGTGCGTGCATGTGTTGAATGCGTGTTGTGGTGTGTGTGGTGTACGTGCGTGTGTGTAGCGTACGTGCGTGTTTTGAGTGCACTTGTGCTCTGTACTCTGTGTTGTTTCTTCATGCAGGTGCAAGCAAACACGCAAGCAGGCCATTTCTTCTCTTCATGCCCCACACTCTTCCTCTCACTCTCACTTTCACTCGCACTTTATCACTATGTACAAACTCACACGGACCTTCATTCGCTTGCCCCCTCTTTCTCATCACTTGCCCCCTCTTTCTCATTCACTTTAGATTGATGGCCTGGGAAACGTGCACCAGGCATGCGCTTCATTTCCCACTCTCGTACACACCAGAACTCTAATAGAGCTCTGTTTGAACCGGGGTGCATAACCCGCAAAGCGCATTTTGAAAGGGAAACCGGCAACCACACACTTTTGGCATCGACAGTGAGTGCGTGCCATCCCTCCAGCGAGAAGGCCCAAGCGTGTCTCTCCTCGCCTGCTTTCTCCACCGCACGCCATCAGCTCCCCAATGTCAGCTGGCTGGATGGATGTTGATGTGGATTGGATGTGGATGAGATGTTCATTTTCTCAGCTGTCATCCAACGCACCAAGAACCACCAAGACCCCCCGATTTGAACTGCGTGACTTCCAGCCACCTGCCAGCGCACACTTCTTCTTCTTCTTCTTCTTCTTCCTCTTTTGTGAAGCCAGGTGTTGCACCGACAGCCAGCCATGCGCGTGTTGGTGTTTGCGGTGGCGTCGTGCCTGCTGCTTGCTGCGGGCTCGATGGCTGCCGATTATCAGCGGCACGAGTACACGACGGCTTATCAGCCCAAGCACCAGGACTACACGACCAAGCACATGGAGTACACCACGGCTTACGAGGCACCCAAGCAGGAGTACACGACCGCCTACGTCGCGCCCAAGCAGGAGTACACCACGGCTTACGAGGCACCCAAGCAGGAGTACACCACCGCTTACGAGGCACCCAAGCAGGAGTACACCACGGCTTACGAGGCACCCAAGCAGGAGTACACGACCGCCTACGTCGCACCCAAGCAGGAGTACACCACGAAGCACATGGAGTACACCACCGCCTACGAGGCACCCAAGCAGGAGTACACCACCGCTTATGAGGCACCCAAGCAGGAGTACACCACCAAGCACATGGAGTACACCACGGCTTATGAGGCACCCAAGAAGGCTTACACGACCGCCTACGAGGCACCCAAGCACCAGGAGTACACCACGGCTTACGAGGCACCCAAGCAGGAGTACACGACCAAGCACATGGAGTACACCACAGCTTACGAGGCACCCAAGCACCAGGAGTACACCACGGCTTACGAGGCACCCAAGCAGGAGTACACCACGGCTTATGAGGCACCCAAGAAGGCTTACACCACTGCCTACGTCGCACCCAAGCAGGAGTACACCACCAAGCACCAGGAGTACACCACTGCCTACGAGGCACCAAAGCACCAGGAGTACACCACTAAGCCCGCCTACCCACGCTACACCCAGCACCAGGAGTACACCACACGCCCCGTCTACACCACGCAGCCACCCGTCTACACCACACAGCCACCCGTGTACACCACAGAGGCCGTGTACACCACACGCCCCGTGTACACCACCAAGCCACCCGTGTACACCACCAAGCCACCAGTCTACACGACCAAGCACCAGGAGTACACGACGGCCTACGAGGCGCCAAAGAACGAGTACACGACGAAGGACGCCTACGCCTACGCCGACAACAACTCTGGCGCCTCTGGTGCTGGTGATGCCGCTGCAGGCCTCTCTGCGGGCGCCATTGCCGGCATTGTGGTTGGCGCGCTGCTGCTTGTCGGCGCCGTTGTTGGTGGCGTCTTCTTCGCCAAGCACCGCGCCAACGCCTCTTCCTCCTCCTCCGCCGCCGTCGAGTCCGTCTAAGCAGCAGCAGTAGCAGCAGCAGCTGACAGCAGAGGCATCACCAGCAGCAGCGACAGAGGCAGTGCCGGCTGCTGCTTTGCTCTCTGTGACGACGACGACGACGACGACAAAGATGATGGGATGATGACCATGCTTGCTTGCTTGCTTGTTGCACCATTTTGTTCATCTGCGTTTCTTTTCATTCACCTGTCTGTTTGACCTCCTAACACCACCACCCTCCTTCCTTGCTTTGCTGTCCTGCTGTGCCAGCCATGACCGGTTTTGTTTTTGTTTACATATTTCACCTCCCTACCGCAAAAGACCTGGGTGTCTGCTTAACCCCCCTGCTGTTGTGAGGCGTTGTCTCTCTGTCTTGTCCTGTCCTGTGTGTGAAATGATGATGGCTGCTGGTCCTGTGTCGCTTCATGCCTCCAATAAACGAAACCAAGCGTTCATGTGGAGCGTTCATGTGGTGCACAGTGGAACTGCCGAAGCATCCGCAGACCACACCCCCCGGCCACAGCGGCCAGCGCAGCAATGACAGCAACAACGGCACTGCTGCCACCGCCGCTGCCACCGCCACCACCGACAACGATGAGGGACAGCCACGCAGCGCCCCAGTGACCTCACGAAGCCCCGGTGGCCCGGCCGCAACAGAGCCCCCTGCAACTGTCTAAGCGACAGTCGCAGCACTACACATGAGCCTCGCACCGAGGCACTTGGTTTCTATCTATCTATCTATTGATTCACTTTTCTTTCTGTCTATGAGGCGCGTGCTCTCACACACATTCACCCATACGCACCGCTGCCCTTTGTTTTGCCGCAATTGCCTTCCCCATCTTTGAGCGCTGGGAGCAGTGTAAGATTTCAGCGAGTTTTCCCCAATAAACACACAGCCCAAACACACACACACACACACACACACGCACGAATTCAAATTTTTGGCGGCAGCCGAAATTCATCATTGTGTTTGTTTGGTGGGCAAGGACGATGATGATGATGACACGACAACCAAGGCACGAAAGCAGCGACAGCAGCAGCAGCAACACTCGGAACGTAAGCAGCAGCGACAGCAGCAGCAGCGGGGATGATGACGTTGAGGATGTGGATGACCATCCCGACAAGAGGGTTGAAGAGGAGCAAAGTCGGCGACCCAGGGCACGCCGCGAAGCACACCCGACACACAAGCCACCATCATTGGGCAAATCCCTGCCGAGAGTAGATGAGGAAGTGGATGATGATGGCGACGATGATGCTGTGGCTCGGAGCGATTCCAAGTCTGATGAGAGAAGGCAAAGGAAGAGAGCAGGTCGGCCCAAGCGACGCCCTCGGCAACAGCGACAACGACAACCACATCAGCAGCAGCGGACTGCCAGCACGAAGTTGGAGGGCGCGCTCAGCGTCGATATCCACTCCTGCTCGGCGCTGCCATGCTCAACCCGGGTTGCTCAGCCATTTGTTCGCATGCATGTGATAGCCAAGCGCTCCTTGCAGCCGGCGTCGGCCACTTGTGATGACTCGTCGTCTAGCGGCCCTCGCCAGCGCCGGCGGCGGCAGAGGCGCGGGTCTGCCGGTGGCCCGACAAACGACAACGGCAGTGGAGGAGACTCGTCGTACGATTCTGCGGGAGAGGAAACGGGCCACTCATCCCGCGATACACGCGCTCTCCACACTCGTCACAAACGCAAGCACATGTTCGAGTCGAAACCCGTGCATGTGGATCCATACAGTGCGCTGAGGGCGCGCTGGGAGGAGCAGATTCGGACGGGCCTGTCGCTTGATGACTGCCGACCAGCGAATGCAGATGCAGTTGTTGTGTTCGAGGTTGTTGATCCGCCAGCCGTGAACATTGCCAGTGTGAAGCCTGCGGCTGCAGGAAGCAAACCAAAGGGGCCTCGGTTCGACCAGGAGTTTACACACGCGGTTGCCTTTCTTGACATGGCGACGCTGCTGGAGTACCGCCGCAAACAGCAACAGCAGCAGCATGAGGAGGAGGGGGAGAAGGACGGGGGAGAGGAAGAGGAGGAGCAGCAGCAGCGACGGGCGAAAAGGCGTGACCGTCAACAAAGGAGCGGCTCAGGGGACCCAGCTGATGAGGAAGGGCACGAGATGGGGGCGAAGGGGGGCGTCGTCGAACACACGGGTGCAAACGAGCGACAACCCGCGTCGAGTGGCAGCTCGCAGTCACTGACGCTGCCACATCTGCGGCTGCAGCTCTATCGACTCCACCACCTCACCTGGCTCGAGCGCTTACGGCGCTTTCGCCGACCTAGTGGACCTGCTGGCGCGCTTGACACCGCAGCACAACCGCCGTCATCAACGTCGACGTCATCGCAGTTGCGTGAACCATCACCACTCCCGCTGCGGCCGCTGTCGGCGTTCTACCAGCCGCCACCGGGCATGGAGGCGGAGCGGTTTGGCGGATACCTTGACGTGTCCATTCGAGCAACGCACGACGACTCGATGGCGACGGCAGCGGCAGCGGCGCACACGGTCGAGCAGCGAGCAGCGGAGGCGCAGCACAACCAGGTGAAGCCAGCACATTTGCCGCTGTGCACATCCCCCATGTGATTGTGTGTGTGTGTGAGTGAGTGAGTGTGAGTGAGTGTGAGTGAGTGTGTGAGTGTATGAGTGTGTGTGTGTGTATGAGAGTGTGCGTGTGTGTGTGTGTGCGTGCGTGTGCTCTCCTGTTTTGTTTTTCTTTGACGCGGTGTTGTATGGCCGTGGCAACCTTCAACAATGCTCATCTGCGCTCATCACCATCGTGTTGATCAATTGCTAGGCTGCTGCTGGCGATGGTGGTGACAACAACAGCGACGACGACGATGACGACTGGAACCAGCATCCACTCGAGCGCATTCCCGATGACTGGTACGCACGTTGGCCCGTTTTAGCCATGCGTATGTGCCTGTTGTATTGTGACGTTGAGCAGTACCGCCTCGATCACACTCACGAGTTCGAGGTTGGCACCATGCACACGGCTGTATGCTTCTGTTTGCGTACATCGTTTTGCACGTGTATGTGGATACGTGTGTGTGTGTGTTTGTGTCTTCAGGGATCCGCACTGGGATTTGCTCGAATCAGAGGCACGAAAGGTTCCCGCTGTGGTTCACGACCCATTAGTACCAGGCACGCAAATCACGCTCGCACTTGCTCATGTGTGCCAGTGTGCGTGTGTGTGTGTGCGTGTGTGGGTATTTGTGCGTACGTTGTGTGCGTGTACATTTTGGTTTGTCGCACGTGTGCTGCAATTTGTTCCCCATGTGTGAGAAGCCGACCTCACTCCGTCTTTACTCTTGACCAAGCACACACACACATGCATACATATACATACATGCACACATGCACACATACACACACATGCACGCATATACATACATGCACCCATGCACACATACACACACACACACGCTCACGTGCCCATCACTGCCACCAACCACAATCACCGCTGCTGCGTGTCCTGTTTTGCCAGACCAATCGGGCGGCTGCCATCGCGTTTCCTTCTCCAACAGCGGTTTTCTCGTCGCAATTGCCGCCCTCGCACGCTTCCCAACGTATGCTCGGCACCGTGCTGTCAACACGTGGCTGCTTACAGCACGTATCAGCGCAGCCCCACTTGTGTGCATATGTGTGGACATTTGCACATGTTTGTACGCTCACCCGCCAATGTGTAGTTCGATCACGTGCACATTTGTGATTATTCACGTCCGTCTGTGTTTCTTCACGTACGCGCTCGTGTATTCTTCATGTGTGTTTGCGTGTGTGCGGTCGTGTATTCTTTGTGTGTGCGTGTGTGCGCGTGTGTTTGCGTGTGTGATGCCAGCGGTGCGAATCAGGAGAGCGGTGGCGGCGGCGAGGACGCGCCGTCAGCCATGAAGGAGCAGCACGTCGTGCACGTGTATGGCGTGAGCGGGGTGAGCCAGCAGCGGCAGCCGTTTCTCATCCAGGAGTACCGCGCGCACACGGGGATCATCTACAACATTGACTGGTGAGCGCACGCAGCAGACCAAGCGTGCGAGATGGGTGATTGCGAGTGTGGCAACTCGAATACACTCATCACTCACTGCCTGCGCACGTGTTCACAGTGCATTCAATCGCCAACATCGACATGGCTAACACAACATTCTCACGTATAACACACACACACGCGCGCGCGCTTGTGCACCTTCGTTGACGTGTGTGTGCACGCATAGGACACCGGACGACACGTGTTTCCTGACGTGCTCTGCCGATGGCTTTGTGTGCTTGTGGGATGCAGTGACATTCAGCCCACAGCCGCTGGCGGTGAGGAAGAAACAGGGTGGCACACGCATGCAAGTGATTCTATCGGCCTTTACTTTGAGCTGTAGAGACTGCAATGTTCTCGTTCGCCTGTACTCACACGCATGTACAAATCTCGCACACACACACACACACATCTCGCACACACACACACACACATCTCGCACACACACACACACACACACACACACACACACACACACACACACACACACACACACACACGTGTACGCGAAACAATTGGTATTGTGCGACTTGCTGTACACATTGCAGGTGCTGCCCCATTCGTCATTCGTGTACGACGCACGGTTCCTGCGCACTTCTGCCCATCACGAGCACACACGCGCACGCGAACTGCATACACACCCAGTCGTTGACGACAGTGATGGTGAGAGTGCCAGTGATGGCGATGGTCATGGCGGTGGCAGCGATCGTTCCGATCGCGACGGTGGCGGTGTTGTGCCGCTGGAGCCCCCCGGTCACGTTGGCGGCGTGTTTCGTGCATCGCAGAGACGACGACGACAGCGCCGACGCCATGGTGGCGATGGTCACGGTGGCGGTCACGGTGGACGGAAGCGGGGAGCACTGGCGCAGCGCGTGAAGCAGCGGCGGCCTGTGGACACACACGCGCTGGCGGAGGCCGTGCAGGTGGTGACGGCAGCGTACGATGGGCTGGTGCGCGTGTGGGAGCTGAGGGCACAGCGGCAACGCCGGCTCACCCTCTCCCTCGCGCACTCGCTGCGAACAAGCGGACAGCTGGAAGGAGCAGTGGTGTGTGAAACCAGAGCAGGGGCAACGACAACTCCCGCCATTTCCTCGGATCAGCAACAGCAACAGGGGCAACAGCAGTCGTCAGGTGGACTGGCCACAGCACCGGTTGCTGCCGTGAACGCGCTCGCCATTGACCGGCGCCACACGCGCGTCTTTGCCGGTGACGCCAGCGGACGCATCTGCGTCTGGCTCGTCGACACGTCATCGTCACCATCAGCACAATCATCATCACCGCCATCGCAAGTGCTGAGCGGGGCGCGGGAGCTGCGTGACCCGGAGATGCGCGGGTTTGGCGTGACGAGCGTTGTTCTAGACAGCAGTGAACGCCGTCTCATCTGCCTCTCCCGCGACGCCACCATCCGATTCATCAACCTCACAAACATGCTTGTCGACCAGGTGATTTGTCGTATGTGTGCAGGGTGTGTGCAGTGTGTGTGTGCGCACGTGTACAGTGTATGTGTTTTGCGTGTGTGTGTGTGTGCAGTATGTGTGTGTGTATGTGCAGTATGTGTGTGTGTGCGTGTGTGGTGTGTGTAAATGGCACGAGTTCCATTTCGCGCGGAGTGCAATTGTGCGTACATGTTTCTTCTGTGTTCACCTGTCACCACTCCCCTTCCATCACGGTTCTGCAGAAAATCCACGTTGGTGCACGCCAGGTGACGGGAATGGTTCGCTGCTGTCTTTCGCCCTGCGGCCGTCTCCTCTTCGCAGGTGCGTGCATGCGTGTGTGTGCATGCGTGTGCATGTGAGTGCATGTATGTATGTACGTGCACGCGTGCGTGTGCGTGTGCGTAGGTGTATCTTTACGTTTGAACCGTGCATCTCAGCGCACAGAGTCATATCCACTGGCCAACTCAATTCATATGGCTGGTGCACGCTTGTGTGTTCTTGTGGCGTTGTGGGCTGGGTGTGTTCTCATTGCTGCAGGGGGTGACGATGGACGAGTGCTGTGCTGGTACACGGACACAGGTCTGGCATGCCGCACACAGCCAGCGCTGCCCACAAAGTAGGGACCTTACCACTGGCTGTGGTAGTGTTATGGCTCATGCTGCTTTCACTTTGAAAGCACCACTCTCGTTCCCCCTATTTACACACACACACACACATGCACGCATACACACACGAACAAACGCTCACACCCATACGTTCACCTGTTGACAGCCTGCCGATCATCGACGTTGCGTTCCATCCGCACGACAACATCTTGGCCGCGTGTGTGTTCGCCTCTCCAGGCGCCGCCTTCTTCCTCTCAACACCACCACGCAGTGAGAGCACACACACACACACACATACACACACACACACACACGCACATACACACACACACACAAGCTCACGCTCATGCACGCATGTTGACTGTTGCTGTTCTTTCCGTGCGCTTGAGACGCAATGCGCGATGCGTTTGATTCAACCGCCTCCGCATCACACGCATGTTCATTCAATCCCCATCCTCTCACGCGTGCCTGAATGACTTCAAATGCTGCCCTCATCATCGCACTTCAGAACACGCCCACGGCCAACCAGTGCCATCCGCATCTATTCCTTCGTCCCTCCGCCAGTCGCTGCCGCCTGGTCTGCTGGAGAGGTACAGCCACGCAGTCATGAAGAGGAAGGGAGTGTGGGTGGCAAATGGGCAGGGAGGAAGAGCACGGGTTTGTCACCATCAGGTGTGATGCGAACATCTGCGTCTGTCTCGTCGATGTTCACTCATCGATGGCGCTTATCATACACACACACACACACACACACACACACACACACACACACACACACACACACACACGCACATGACCAGGAAACCGCCGCCAATCTTCCTTGAGCCGCCGGCAGCGTCGACTGCCCACGGCGACGCTGATTCGCTGTCGGGAACACAGCAGCACGACCCGCATGAGCTCGCCCGGTACCGGCAGCTTAAGGAGCAGCATGCAACGCGACTGCTTCGCGACGCCATGGCAACCATCGACGAGCGGTTAGATCAAGTTTGTGTGCTCTGTGTGTGTTCTGTTTGTGTTTGTTGTCTCTGTCTCTGTCTCTGTCTCTCTCCTATGCTGTGTGCTGTGTGCTTTACATCACCCCACCTCACACCATCCGCCATCCATGCACTTCGCATCATCAACAGGATCCTGGACCTTCAAGGCGCCGGCCACACCGTCGGTCGCGCGTGGACGGCAGCGGAGACAGCGCCGGCGCGCACGTCGCAGTTTGCGGCGCCGGCAGCCAGAAGCGACGACGTGAACGAGAGCGTGGATGCAAACGCGACGCGGGCGAATGTGGCAATGGAGATGCAGAGGTTCATGCAGATGGCGCCAGCGCAAACAATGGGCGACACCTCGACGACAACGGCAGCAGCGACATCGACCACCGCCAGTGGTGATGGTCGTGACGATGACTCTGCGCGGGCGCCACTCGCTGCAATTCGCCTCCAACCACTGAAGAAAGCAGCCGTAACCACCACCAACACCACATCACCACCACCACCATCGTCATCGTCGTCAACGAGTGGTCGGCGGCGGCGACAGCGGCCCGTCGGGAAATCGCGCGCATCGCAACGACGCAGCGTCGCAGGCCGTGACGATGGAGCGAAGGGTGATGGTGGTGATGGAGCAAAGGGTGATGGTGGTGCTGCGCACGACACGACTGCGCCACCGTCGCGTGCCAGTCGACGGAGGCGGCCGGCGGCGCGCAGTCGAGCAGCACGACGCCGCGCTGGTGGTGGTGAAGATGGAAGGGATGTGACCAAAGCAGACACGATGCACCAACCGCCACAGCAGCAGCAGCAGCAGCAGCAGCAGCAGCAGCAGCAGCAGCAGCAGCAGCAGCAGCAGCAGGGGGGTGAGGGAGGACTGCAGCCACCACCGCCGCCGTCATCATCATCGTCTTCATCGTCCTCGCGTGTGCGTTCACCGAAGATGCGGCGCTCGCGGTTTGGGGGCGGGATCCAACTGGAGGGAACAGCAGACATCGACCTGTAGCAGGCGCGGTGTACATGTGCGCGCGCGCGTGCGTGTGTGTGTGTGTGTGTGCACTCTGTGTGTATAGGTAGTTTACATTGTCTTTGACGCTCACGTTGTACCCTTTTGGGTTTTCCTTCGTGTCCATAAGAGTCGTGTGCATATGCCTGAGGGCAATGTGAGGTTTGTGCTAACAATTTACGTGTTCGTGTAATGGAAATACAAGACGTTGTTCAAACAACAAAACAACACTACCCCATACAACCGAACCAGCACCACGTGCGAACGACACATGTCATGGTTCATGGAAGTTTCATGTTCACACGAAGACCGCGGCCATCCGGTCCCTGCGTCCACGTCACGCTGCAATGCACACACGCACACGCACACACGCACACACACACACACACACACATACACGGATATGAGCCGAGGAACTGAGTAAACGTGCATGTGAATGCGTGTGGGTTGCGTGCAAGGGAAGATGTGCGTGAGGGCTCAAGGGCATAACCATATTCACGTGGTCTGCGCACCTGGAGTTTGGATCAATGAGCAGGGAGTCGCCTTGATTCATGCTGTGATCAATGTCATTCACCCGCACCGTGGATGTCCCAGACTACACAGCACAGGCGAATATGTGCATTATGTGCATGTGTGAGTGGACGCATTGGGCGCAAGCAGCGGCAAACAAACACGTTCAACAATCGAATCGACTGCCGACACAGACCGACAGGCAGACAGACAGACAGACAGACACACACACACACGCGCGCGCGCGCACACACAAACGCACGTGTTGCCAGATCCATGTTTGCTGCTGTGTTGGCTCAAACGAGGCCTTGCATCCGTTTCCACACGCGTGCACCTGTGGATGGTGGATGAACAGATGAAGTGATGGGACAAACAGCAGCACGCGTGAGCACGACAAGCAGCACGACAACAAACCAACCCATTTCACAGGAAAACACAGCATGGCCCAAAGCCCCGTACACACACACAGACACACACACACACACACACACACACACACACACAGACACACACACACACCGACACCACGTCATGGTGGAGCGCACCTGAAATTCTCCCTTTGAGAACATGAGCGTGGGTTTGTCTGCCACGTCATCGGCGTGCTCCTCAAACCACTGCAGTCAATACAGGAGAATTCAAGAGCACGCCAAAGCACAACACAGCACAACACAGCACGTGCGGCCACAGCAGAGATGAGGAGGAATTGCACCTCATCCACCAAATCAGCGCCAGCAGAAACTCATGCACAAGAACATGCGTATGCACAAACACACACACACACACACACACCTGCTGAAGTGAGAAGGGTGCGTCCACGGTTGTCGTTGTGTCGATGTTGATGGGAGTTGGGTCAGTCACGTTCTCTGTAGGAGGCGACAAGAGGCGTGAATATGCGATTGGCTTTGCAGAGGAAGATGGCGTGGTTTGTGTCTGCACCTGCAAAAAAAAAAAAAAAAAAAAAACACGCGAACACAACAAACAGACAGGCGGACACACGTGGAGGCACGCTTGACACGTGCTTGTTATACCTTTGGTTGGAGTGTCTGTCTTGTGCTCTTCGCTGGCAAAGAACCTGGGGAAGGCAACAGCAAGAAGCAGCAGCGCCCCGACAACGGCGACGTGAGTGTGGGACATCTGCAACAAAAGAAGGAGCAGGAGCAGGAGAATGTGGAAAGAGCAAAGTCCATGCACCAGGCAGACACCCGGACAAACTGGCGGAAGAACGGCGGGACATACAGACGGACAGATAAGCAGGCAGACACAAAACATGCCCGCACCCACACATGCACACACATGCACACACACATACACACACACATATACACACACATGCAACCCCACACGCACACACACGCACACACACGCATGCACGCACTCGTCAATGACGGGCTTGAGCTGTGTGCCGAGGTCGTAGCAGTGGAACCAGCGTTCCCAGAGCGGCGTGCTGTCGTCCTGTTTGCGGTAGTAGCGGAGTCCATCAAGCTCCTTCTCGCTGCGCTCGCGCTCAATCACCAGCCCAACCGTGTCCTCAAACCGCTGTGGGGAGTGGGGAATGCGCCCGGGCAGCACAAAAATCTGCAATCGAGGTGTGTGTGTGTGTGTGTGTGTGTGTGTGTGTGTGTGTGTGTGTGTGTGTGTTGGTTGGAGGGCGTGCGAGAAGCGCAAACGCGAGTCATCTGTACATGGTTCCGTCATGTTGCAGAGGAACACACACACAGACACCCACACACACACACACACACACACACACACACACATACACACAGACATACACACAGACATACACAAACACAAGCAAAAGCAGCGCGGGTGGCACCTCTCCCTCCTTGATCTTGACGTCCTTTGGTTTGCCTTGCTCCATGATCTTCAGAACCATGTCTCCCTTGAGCTGGAAGAAGAGCTGCCGTTACCATCGAAGCAGCGCAGGGGACGAACATGAGTGGCACAGTTGCATGCAGGAAGCAAGTTGTCGTGGCGTAACGGTGTGGTGTGGTGCTAGCAACGAGCACCAACGCAGCCTGCGAGAGGGGGGGGGAACATGGAGGCGGCAACACTTGCATCCAGTGCCTGCATCCAGGGTTATCACCTCCTCGCCTTCCTCAATGTGGAAGTCCCGGCGGATGTTTGGTCCACCTACGAACATGATCTTCAACAAGCCATCGCCATGCCTGCTCGCACGCACGCGCACAGCGTATGTGTCACGAAAGTGAGCGGGATGAGTGCTTCACCACCCACGTGTCAGGAGGCACCGCTGTTTCCTCAACACACTCACACGCACATATTCACGCACACCGCATATATGTATATGTATTCACGCAAACACAGGTTCACCCACCCACACAAAGCCACCCCCCCACACACACAGTTCCACACACCCACACGCACGCACATACACACACATTCGCTCACGCACATGAGCTTGTTGCAGACGGGTGGAGCGAAGGATGCCTTGTTCTCCTCCACCCAGCCCTCGATGTTCACCAGTGTCATCTTGGTTGGTTGATTGCTTTTGTCGCGGCGCAAAACAGTCAGCGGATGGGGTAATGGTGACTCCAGTTTATGCTGTTGTCGTTGACCTAGAAACATGGTGTACGACTTCAAAGGTTTTTCGGAACTGCCACGACTCTGGGTCTGGTGGATACGAACAATTGATTCATCGAAATGCGCGATAAGCACAAAGTTGTGACCAACAGTCATAGATTGAGGCAGAATTTTTTTGGCACACTTTTTTCTGGTTGGTTTGTCAGTGGAGACAAGCGAGAGCAACGAACAACCAAGATGCAGCTGAAGTGGCTGTCTGTGCTGGCCATCGTGGCACTCCTGCTCACGCGTGAGTGCTGCTCGCAGTGGGTGGTGGTGCTGGTCCCGCTGGTGTTGGTGCTGGTGCCGAGGGTGTGGAGAAGGCAGAAAGGGTCGATCATTGAGCTCCACATGTGCATGTATTGGTGCGAGCATGGGTGACTGTGCAAAGAGTGGAGGTTGGGCATGTACGTGTGTTGGTGTTGGTGCTGGTGTTGGTGCTGATGTATGTCAACGCTCACATCATTGTCATCATGATCTGTCCAACGTTTGTGTCCTGTGACTTTGTCTGTTGAACGTGCACAGGCCTTCCCCCTTCTTCCCTGGTTTCTGCAAACGATGACGACACCGTGACTGGCGAGGATGTGGGAGACGACATGGACAACGTCGCCGTCGATGAGGAGGTGTGTGTGTGTGTGTGTGTGAGTGAATGTGAGAGAGAGTGTGTATGTGCGTGCGTGTGTGTGCGTGTGTGTGTGTACGCGTGATTGTTCTGCTTGGGTGATGCGTTCATGCCACGCCGCACCCACTGAGCAGGCGGAGGAGGAAGAGAGCGACATTGATGATTTGGAGCTCGGGCCAACAAAGCTCGTCGACGTGACTGCCATCTTCCCGGATTTTCCAACCCTCGGTGCGTGTCACACAGTCGTGGGTGAATACGCGTGCGTGTGTGTGTGTGTGTGTGTGTGTGCGTGTGCGTGGGCAGCAAAACACCTCTTGTCTTGTCTTTGATGTTGACACGTGTTTGACAGCACTCTCATTTGATGCTGCCAATGCGTGTGTTCACTGTGGCGCAGAGATTCCTGCTGGCGCCATTGTTACCGCCGTCGTTGGTCTTGACAACAAGGCCGACTCGCCCTTCGTCGTCAGCTCCATTGAGGGATCCCTTGGGTACGCTTGTGTGCTGGCACAAAGAGCAGCGGCGGTGCACCTCAGACATGTCCGGTTGCTGTCAGTGTTATTCTGAAACCTCCCATGCTGACCACCCATCCTTTCGCTCATTTTCCATGCTTTTTTCTTGCTGCATCCTCGCTGTCGTCACAGTGCGCCTTTCGACTACACCCAATCATTCCAGAACGTAAGCGATCGTCCCGTGCCGGCCTTTCATACCTTGTCACCCGCAGCAGACACACACACACACACGCACACACACACACGCACGCACGCACATACACATGCATCAACATCGTTGCTGTTGTTGTTGATGTTGTTGTTGTTCTCGCCTCACGTCCATCCTGCGTTTGCTGTGACTCGATGTGCAGTTCACTGCCATGCCGATTGAGCTGCGCGTGGACGCTGGCCAGCAGGCGACGTTCACCTACAAGTTCCGCCCCTCGGACCGCTTCGAGCCCCGCGACTTTGCGCTCGCCGTTGTCGTCAACCTCAAGGGTGCGCTGCGCGGTGTCCCTGGTGTCCCTGTGCGCGCGTGTGCATTTATATGCCTGTTTGTGAAGCTGGTGTATCTGTTTGTGAAGCTGCGTGTACCTGTGTGCCTGTCTACCGATGCATGTGCATGTGCCAGCTTGGCCTGCTTCTCTGCAACCTGTCTGTGAAACTATTGCGGCACTCCTCCTGCCCTTCTCTCCGCTGCCATCGCGCCACATCTCATTGACACATGCACGTATGACTGTGCTGCGCGGGATACAGACCAGAGCGAGGGCCTGTTTGTGAACACCGCGTTCAACCAGACCATCACGCTCACGGACCCCGAGTCTGACGTCTCGTCCAAGGCCATCTTTGGCTACATCCTGTTTGCTGCTGTTGGCGTGCTCGCGTTCCTGTACAGCCGGCCCAAGCCCGCCACCAAGCCAACCAAGCAGGCAGCGAAGCGCGTTGAGACGGGCGCAGGCATGGTGCAAGAGGACGAGTGGCTCGCCGATACCAATGTGTACGTATCCTGCATCCAACATGGTTGGTGGTGTTGGTGGCGCGAGTTGAGGTGTGTGTGTGTGTGTGTGTGTGTGTGTGTGTGTGGAGAGGAAAGTGTTTGCTTGTGATGAGTCGTGTGTCTGAGGTATTTATTTGCTCTGCCGTTGATGCTCGTGATCACTGTTGCTGTCACATCACGGCCTGTGCGCATGTTCGCGCACTCCATTCACGCATGACTCCGCTTGCACATGCATGTCGACCTTGCATTTATTCAGCGTACAGCCCCGTCGCCGCAAGCGCTCGGAGCGCAAGAACTAGACCACACACGTGGTGCTATTGGTGTTGTGTTGTTTCGTTCCCCTCATCATCATCATCATCAACATCATCATTGTTGTGGTTCTGTCTGCACCCACGGCCGTGCGTGTGGTGGATAACCGGGCGAATACTCATGTGAATCGGTGAACTTGCGGGCGGCTTTCGTGTCTTCCGCAGGTCGCGTGTGCATGCGAGCAAACGTATCTCGCATCACCGCAATGCGCCAGCAATAAACATGACCAAAGCATGCAGACGTACAGTTGCCACTGGTGAGTGAGCTCAGGGGTGCAGCAGCTGTATGAACAGCAGAGCACGCACTTGCTTTGGCCTTATCCGTTCTCACGTCACGTTCACGCAACACCAAACGTTTCGCGCTTCCAAACTGAAAACTGTGGTTTCGTTTATTGGAGGCATGAAGCGACACAGGACCAGCAACCATCATCATTTCACACACAGGACAGGACCGGACAGAGAGACAACGCCTCACAACAGCAGGGGGGTTAAGCAGACATCCAAGTGTTTTGCGGTAGGGAGGTGAATATATGTAAACAAAAACAACACCCGTCATGGCTGGCACAGCAGGACAGCAAAGCAAGGAAGGAGGGGTGGTGGTGTTAGGAGGTCAAACAGACAGGTGAATGAAAAGAAACGCAGATGAACAAAATGGTGCAACAAGCAAGCAAGCAAGCATGGTCATCATCCCGTCATCGTCATCGTCGTCGTCGTCACAGAGAGCAAAGCAGCAGCCGGCACTGCCTCTGTCGCTGCTGCTGGTGATGCCTCTGCTGTCAGCTGCTGCTGCTACTGCTGCTGCTTAGACGGACTCGACGGCGGCGGAGGAGGAGGAAGAGGCGTTGGCGCGGTGCTTGGCGAAGAAGACGCCACCAACAACGGCGCCGACAAGCAGCAGCGCGCCAACCACAATGCCGGCAATGGCGCCCGCAGAGAGGCCTGCAGCGGCATCACCAGCACCAGAGGCGCCAGAGTTGTTGTCGGCGTAGGCGTAGTCGTTCTTCGTCGTGTACTCGTTCTTGGGCGCCTCGTAGGCCGTCGTGTACTCCTGGTGCTTGGTCGTGTACACGGGTGGCTTGGTGGTGTAGACTGGTGGCTTGGTGGTGTACACGGGGCGTGTGGTGTACACGGCCTCTGTGGTGTACACGGGTGGCTGTGTGGTGTAGACGGGTGGCTGCGTGGTGTAGACGGGGCGTGTGGTGTACTCCTGGTGCTGGGTGTAGCGTGGGTAGGCGGGCTTGGTGGTGTACTCCTGGTGCTTTGGTGCCTCGTAGGCAGTGGTGTACTCCTGGTGCTTGGTGGTGTACTCCTGCTTGGGTGCGACGTAGGCAGTGGTGTAAGCCTTCTTGGGTGCCTCATAAGCCGTGGTGTACTCCTGCTTGGGTGCCTCGTAAGCCGTGGTGTACTCCTGGTGCTTGGGTGCCTCGTAAGCTGTGGTGTACTCCATGTGCTTGGTCGTGTACTCCTGCTTGGGTGCCTCGTAAGCCGTGGTGTACTCCTGCTTGGGTGCGACGTACGCGGTCGTGTAAGCCTTCTTGGGTGCCTCGTAAGCTGTGGTGTACTCCATGTGCTTGGTCGTGTAGTCCTGGTGCTTGGGCTGATAAGCCGTCGTGTACTCGTGCCGCTGATAATCGGCAGCCATCGAGCCCGCAGCAAGCAGCAGGCACGACGCCACCGCAAACACCAACACGCGCATGGCTGGCTGTCGGTGCAACACCTGGCTTCACAAAAGAGGAAGAAGAAGAAGAAGAAGAAGAAGTGTGCGCTGGCAGGTGGCTGGAAGTCACGCAGTTCAAATCGGGGGGTCTTGGTGGTTCTTGGTGCGTTGGATGACAGCTGAGAAAATGAACATCTCATCCACATCCAATCCACATCAACATCCATCCAGCCAGCTGACATTGGGGAGCTGATGGCGTGCGGTGGAGAAAGCAGGCGAGGAGAGACACGCTTGGGCCTTCTCGCTGGAGGGATGGCACGCACTCACTGTCGATGCCAAAGGTGCGTGCTGGCCGTTCCCCTTCCAATGCCGCTTGCCGGTACTGCACCCTGCTCACAACAGCATCAGTAGGCTCGGTGTGCACGAGCTGGGAACTGAAGCATCGCCTGCTGCACGTTCCCAGGCAATCAATCAAAGTGAATGAGAAAGAGGGGGCAAGTGAATGAGAAAGAGGGGGCAAGCGAATGAAGGTCCGTGTGAGTTTGTACAGAGTGATAAAGTGCGAGTGAAAGTGAGAGTGAGAGGAAGAGTGTGGGGCATGAAGAGAAGAAATGGCCTGCTTGCGTGTTTGCTTGCACCTGCATGAAGAAACAACACAGAGTACAGAGCACAAGTGCACTCAAAACACGCACGTACGCTACACACACGCACGTACACCACACACACCACAACACGCATTCAACACATGCACGCACTTCATTTCAGCCAGCACTGCGTTCCTTTATCAGCTGCTGACTTCAGCCTGCAGCTGTTCGTACGAACCACGTCGATGCACCGTGTGCGTGTGTGAGATTGAATGCACTCGTGCTGCTCTTCTCTTTTGTTGTAATCATCTCCACTTGGCTTGCTTGCTCTGTGTGGATATGTGAATGTGCACACACCATCAGTGCATGTGTATGCATGTGTGTGCGAACCATCATGCTTCACATCACCCACACATCACCCACACAACTGCAACTCAAGAAGCGCTGCTGCTTGTTGCTTGCTTGCTTGTTGGTGCGTGTTGGTTGTTGTTTTGGGTGTTGGTTGTTCGTGCTGTCCTTCCGATCGCCGTTTTGTGTAAATCTTGTGTTAACTTTCAACAACCACCTTGCACCAACGACCAACCAACGATGATGATTGGAACTGTGATCTCTAGCGCGCTGCTGTGCCTCGTTGTGGTTGTCTTCGTACCGGCCTCCACGGCGGCGCAGCGGCTCAACCCAGCGTACCCGACGTCCATGCATCCAACAGGTGGGCAAACTCAGCTCACCGCTTTTCATTTCTTGCTTGGCTGCTTCTCCCCTGGGCGTCTCGACGCCTGGACTCGTTGACTTGCTGCCTGCGTTCTGCTTCATTCACCTTGTTGCGACATGAGCACCCTGCGTTTGCTCTCTCAGGCACACTGACCGCCTCTAATTACCCTTTGACATCCCCCCTCTCTCTCTTTTGCCTGTAGGAGCATCTCCACTATATGTGATATCTGATCATGGTGTGGCGATGGAAGACATTGTCACGTACGAGACGATGGCAGGATTCCTCGGCCGGACCACTCCTCAGCTGTACCGGTGAGGTTTTGAGTATTGTTCTCTGCTGTGAGACCTGACCCTTGCGCAGTCGAACCTCCTGCCACACACACACACACACACACACACACACACACACACACACACACACACACACACACAGAGGTTGATCACACTGTTAACTTCCACCCTTGTTCCTGGTGCGGTGTCAGGCTGAATACCAACGTCACTGGCCCGGAGTCCTACGCCATCTGGCTGCGCTTCATGATGAAGAATTATGGAGTGAGTGTTTGGAATACGCAAGGCGTTCTTCACTTTGATCTGTGCGGTCTGCCTGCAGCCTTGTTCTTGCGACAAGTACACATACAAGCGTTGTGCATTTCATACGCCCACCCGCTTCACACACATGTTCGCCCTCTCACACTTGTCTCACTCTTGTCTGTCTGACACAATCTCTTGCTTGCTCCTTCGAAGGTGACTGTGAACTCGACGTTTCTAAACGACTTGCCGGCAGCTGTTCGCTTCTTTGCCCCACAAATGCGTGGTTTCGTGACGTTCAACGCCTCCACAGAGAGCCTGAATGCAGCCATCACCTACTGTGCTGCTTCCGACGACTTTGTGAGTACACCTGAAGGGTATTGCCGTGTTTGACGTTTCGTGTTGGCATGCAACATCTCACGTCTGTTGTTTTGCGCCTGTGATCGCAGGTTGTTGCTGCTGGCAGTGATGCCATGATTTCCACTCTCCGTGACGCTGGTGTTCATCTTCTTCAAGATTTGACGTAAGGGGGCAGTGGTTGGTTGGCTGGTTGTGCGTGGGTTTGGGTGTTTGTCTGTGCGCTTGCCTGCGTCTGTGTATGTCTGTGTCTACGTCAGTGTCTGTCTTGCACACACCCACACACCCACCCCTACACCCCCCCCCACACACACACACACACATACACACACACACCCACACACACACGCACACACACACACACACACACGCACGCACACACCCGCACTCTCCCACGCACACACTCTCCCACCCTCTTTCATACTGCCCCTCCTTTCTTCCACCCTCTCTGTATGACCTCAAACACACTTGCTTCTTGTGGGCTCTGAAGCACTGCCACCGTTGCATCCGTGTACTCCAAAATGAAAGGAACTCTTCGTCTTCGTGGCGCAAGCTTCCAGGTAGCTATCAGCCCCAACTGCATGCCCCCCTTGGCATTAGCGATAGCGTTGTTTGTCCTCGTGCAGTCGCCACAACATCATTCATCATTGGTGAACTGGCTGGATTTCACACGCATGCAATGTTCGTTTCAGCCCCCGAGCAAAGGCGGCAACCTCGCTGAATACGCGGTGTTTGCTCGCATTCCCACCCTCGAATACCAGGTGTGTGTGTGTGTTTGTGTGTGTGTGTATGTGTGTGTGTGTTGTGTTGTTGTGTGTGTGTGTGTGTGTGTGTGTGTGTGTGTGTGTGTGCGTGCACCCGTACATCCGTGACTACGCATGCATACGTGCTTGTGTCCCCTCGGCGCTTGGGTCATAATGCCATCGTGCAGGGCAACACGGGCGGTGCTCTGGTGACAAGCGTGATCAAGGACATCCAAAGCCGCGGCAACAATGGATTCGCTCTCGGCTGGGGCCCAGAGGAACAGTACGTTCACCCCTTACAAACCCCGCCACAATCACGATCACAATCACCGCCACAATCACCGCCACTCACATACCATGCACGAAAGCAGAGCATTGATGGAAATTACCGCTAGTGTCTCTTGTACTCGCATGCTCTCAGTCATACCGCTCGTGTGTCTGTGTGTGTGTGTGTGTGTGTGTGTGTGTGTGTGTGTGTGTGTGACTTTGTGCTTGACTGCAGGTATGTGACGACGCTTGGTGATTACGGCATGTATGTGCACGCATCCGATTGGGCAATGGATGTCGGTGTTCTCTCCAACCTCCACGTGCACAGCAATGTCGCACCCAAGGCATCGCTGCACATGAACCAGCGCCACCAGCACCAACGCACGTCACCAGCAGCCAAACAGTCACACACGGTATCCTTTCTGATGTCGGATGGCGACAACATTCAGTGGCTCCTGAACAACTGGGCAACAGCACCCCAGTGGTTTGGCAGCCCTGACCGCGGCAAGGTCTGTGACTGTCAACGTGAATCCTTTCTTGTTTGTGGCGATCGTGGGTGTTGATTGTGAGTGAGTGAGTGTGAGTGAGTGAGTGAGTGAGTGAGTGAGTGAGTGAGTGTGTGTGTGTGTGTGCGTGTGAGTGAGTGTGAGTGAGTGAGTGAGTGAGTGAGTGAGTGAGTGAGTGAGTGTGTGTGTGTGTGTGCGTGTGAGTGAATGAGTGAGTGTTGTTGTCAATGAATTGCTTCGCCACTGTGTCCCGTTGCCATGTGTTTCGTTGGCATCGTTTTAGCCTTCCCACCACCCTGATACCATTTCACACGCTGCCACCACCTCCTCACCACCTCCACGTCGCCACCATCGCACCAGGTGCCCATGGGCTGGACAGTATCGCCTGGTCTCGTCCCGCTGGCACCGGCTGTCATCGAGTACGCCATTGCCGCCGCCACCGCCAACGACTCCTTTGTGGCCGGGCCCAGCGGTCTCGGGTACATCTACCCGTCGACATTCAGGTGGCACCAAAGTGTTTTTTGTGTGTGTGTATATATATGTATGTGTGTGTGTGTGTTTGTGTGTGTGAAGGTGTGTGTGTGTGTGTGTGTGTGTGTGTGTGTGTGTGTGAGGTGTGTGTGTGTGTGTGTGAGGTGTGTGTGTGTGTGT